AATCCCTGATCATTTGCCGCCTCGATTGGAGAATAGATTTTACAGCTCTTGGGTTTTTTCTCGTGCTCCACACGCCCCATCCCCCCCTGAGGATATCCGCTTTTCTATCTTTGCGACCGGCACAGGCTGTGTCGTGGTGGTCACTTGCCAGGCTGCAATTGCAACACGGGCAGGACCCTCCTTCTCACCTTAGGAGAGAGGAAGCAACCGTTAGCAAAAAAGATGTTCTGCGCGTCCAGTGCTGCTTCTTCAGCAGAAAACGAGTCATCTCTTGATAATTTCTGATTCTATGAACGTACGAAGCTCCTGCTTGCTGATGGTGCCGTTCTTGTCGGCATCTGCAAAGCCTATGCACTGTTGAGCAAGTATTCTGCTCACGTCCAAATCACCCAGCCTGAAAGACATTGCTACCATAAGCTCATCCAGGTCAATCTCGCCATTCCCATCTGTGTCAGCCTCATCAAAAAACTCATCAATCTCATGCATCTCCACTGTACCGTCCTTGTTCACATCACAAAGACTCGCCCAGATTCTGTTGCAGAAATATTGCACCAACAGTGGCAGAGCTGGCTGCCCGGACTCATCGGAGGGAATCTCTTCGGGATGAGCTTCTGCATACCGCTTGAACACAACGTTCGTCCGCATTATGAAAGAATCAATGACAATTCGATACATGCGGTCCGGGTCAAAAGGCTGTCCGGCAACCTCAAAGACCATGGAAGTATTCGGGTCAACCTTCATTCCGTCATCACAGTGGAGAGCATCTCTTGAGGCGCCTGGGCCCGCGGAATCCGCACGTTGGTGTGTTGCCGATGCTACACCACGCCATGGTGCTCGGCTTTCTGCAATAGCTTCGAAAAGGATGGCACCAGGAATCTTTACCACGATTTGCGATGAAGGATATGGACACTCCGCATTCAAGTCGGCAAACCGTACTTTTCCGTCAGTGTACGCTTTGTTTCCACGAATGCTGCCAGCATTGATTACGGCTCCATCTCCGCCGGCAACAGTTCGCAAAGCTGTGCAGATCAAGGTGGCCATGCTACGCTCTCCGAGGCGCACACCCATGGATGTGAGAGAGCCATCTTCAAAGACTGCCAAAGTTGCCTCCTTCAGCTCTTCTGCGGGCCTCTGCCTCTTCTGTACCTCCTCCAAAACTGCAGGATCAGGCTTGTAGACCAACTCCAGCGGAGGTCCGTTGTACTTCGGTGGAGTTGCCAAAGGGACCATTTGGACGCTTACCTTCGTCGGTTCAGATCCTGCAGGGCCTTTGTCCCACACGATGTCGACCACCGCCACGTTGAAGATGTCAGCTCCAGCCTTGACGATGTGGGTGTTGTTGTGCACCTCATTGAAGACATGGTGATCGTGTCCACCCAAAATCACGGGAAACTTGTGCCCGCGTTTGGTCATTTCTATGTCATCGGGCATCTCCTGATGAGTCATAGGGATGATACAGTCAACATTTGGATGTGCTGTGCGCACACGTGCCACTGCACCATCCACTGCTTTCAGCACGGGCACTATGTTCGCAGCATGTCCATTGAAAGCTCCCTGTCTGTAGAGACTGGCATCCTTGCCCCCGCCACAAAGAAGTCCGATCAGAGCGACGGACCTACCCTCAGCCAGCTGCATCACATGGTTGTCCACCAGAGAGCTTAAACCTCTCTCTTCTGAGAATGTTGGGATATTGGAATTCAGCCAAACGCCCTGAAACTCTTGCACTCGTTGGCACATGCTGAGAAAGGGGACGTCGCACTCGTGGTTTCCAAAACACACTGCATGCACCGGAATCGCGTTCATGATCGCTACCGCTCCTCGACCATGGTCTACCGAAGACAGAAGCGACGGGCCGAGGAAATCACCGCCCAAGGTCACCAGCACGTTGGATTTGGGCAAGCCCTCACTCATCGCATCGATGCAGCTCCGAAGGAGTGGAAAGTTCTCCAAAGTGTAAACGTCATTAACATGGAATATTCGCAATCGACACTCAGGCAAATCATCCTTTGGAATGTTCTCGCCTGGGTCCTCAGCGCACGATGACACTCGAGAACTTCATGACTGTACCGGGGCAGAACAGCAAACTTCGACGATCTACTCCGTGTGGCCAACGTGGTCCGACAGAACAACTCTTGCTCAAGGTGATGTTGAGACGACGCACACTTAACTGTGTCCTGGACTCACTCTGAGACTATCGGTTTAAAACATTCGAAGGGTCAGCATCGTCTAAGCTCGGATATTGGATGTTCAGCCTTCTCCGTTGGACCAGATGGGAAGTGGCAAAGGTCGCACGTGGGCTTTCACAGCTCTCACTTGCTGCCACGTCCATTCGGGGCAAATATCGCTTCCGTCGGAGGGTCGCGGATATTGAGATGTGAATGTTTATTTGACAAGATTCTTTTGGGCATCCTGAAGAATTTTTGTGTTTCGGACGGCTCACAGACCCAGTCAGGTACAGGCTGGAGTTTCGACTGTGATGTGGCTTTGGGGATTCCAGTGTTGGTGCCTTCGGATTTCATGATTTCAAGTGCTTTTTGTCCGCTTCCGATTTGACTGTGGCCCGGGCAATGTCATCCAGATTCTGGATGGAAGCAGCCGGCTCTAGCTCCTTCTGCACAGGAAGAACCTCGCGGCAGTGAAAGCTGATCTTAGACGACATGCCTGGGAAAGACTCCTGTTCTGCTGCCTGAACTGCAAAGCACCGTTACATCCCGCAAAATCCGCCGCTCCGATAGTTTCAGATTTGAGGCTGTGAAGGCTCGCTTTTGTGGCTTCTGCCAAGATATGCTGAGGAGCTGGGTCTGGATCAAGGGCGACTGAGGAGCCGCAGCCCATGGCCCGAGGCCCGATCCTGGCTTCGCCAGCTGCTGGGACTCAGGCAGTGCCCTACAGGCTATTTTTTTTCTTTTAGAGCCGCAACACAGACTTACTGTAGGGTAGTGGGGGGCATCTTCGCCACGTGCTAACCGACCGAAGTACTGCAGCCAGCAAGCGCGTCAATTTTTCGAAATGGCTCCAGTCTTCAAAAGCTCTGCCAAACAAGCCGGAGGATACAAGATCTACTCGGACTCTGTAGAATGCTTCATGCCTCTTGTAGATCAAGGGCAGTGACTCTAAGAGCCTCGCCGTGGCACATGGACAGCCGTGATGTTGTTGATGCTCCCTGGGTCGTCCATGTCCCCAGGCACTCACAGCCACGCCCTCGTTGTCGGTCAGAAGTTGGGCAGGACTTGACATCAGAACGCCCTGCGACACTCCGTACTTCAGCACTGCTGGGCCGATGAGGGAGTGCAGGCTGGAAGGAGCAAACTCCGGTCAGATTCATCTCTAATCTCGAAGTGCCGCGACGTAGAAGAGCATCATCTGCTCGTGCGCCATCTGATGATATGCCTCCAGCAGCCGGCGAAGAACGGGAAGACGGTACTTCTCGAACCACCAGCGTCCTCCACATCCTACGAAACCCCATGCCCAGCCCGCGACGGGAAAGTCTTGCAAGCGTGTCGTGAGCTCCAGGTCAAGGCGCTCCTCAGCATCCACGTTTCGGACCCCCAGTGACGTGCAGGAAACGGTCAACGTCGTCACGCTGTTCAAAGTAAATCCTACCTCAGAGCCTGCAAGTCTTCGTAGCGAGACAATTGGAGGGAAGGGCTCCGGCAAATAGTCGGAGCGCAGTTCAGCTGGCTTTTGATCGCCAGCTGCCGGCCAGTGGTCTATTCCTCCGCGTAGCTGCAGAGGTGCACCTGTTAGTCGAAGATCCCAGTAGTCGGCTGCAAATCGTGGTAGTCTGTCAGCCAATACGCCTGCCATAGACTCTGCCACCTCTGCAGGAGAAAGCTTGTCACGAGGCCATCCCCTTTCCACGGGAAGAGAGAACACCGACTGCACGAGAATGTCCGACATGGGCCGTTGGCCAGCGGCTCCTGGCTTCACCTGGACCGCGAAACGAAGTTCCAGAGGGGCCGGGGCCACCGGTGGCTTCGCAAAGTTGAAGTCGAACTCCTGCGTGCAGGCTTGAGTACGATTGGCGCACTGTATCGCAACGAGGCTTCGCTTACCAATCTGCGACGTGTTGGCATGGCCTCATCCTCCTCGTCGTCAGTGGTGGCCGTGTCCGCTTGCCTTCCTCCCTGTCAGTGTGCTGGTTCAAAAGACAACATGCTCTTGACATGGCACTGCTGCAGACCTCACCGCTCTCACAGAGTGACCAGGATACCAAAGGAGATGCACCTTCAAGTTCCAGGGACACGAGAAGAGCAACAGTGCATTGCACAGGCCACATTTAGTTTCAGGTTCATCAGTGGCACGTGCAGGAGCCAGAAAAGAACACCATACTCCTTGTGTTGCCAGCGATGCCTGTGCTGGTCTCTACTACATGACACCACGGTCGCTGTCTCGCTAACTACGGATAGAAGCAGACTCTCCTAGCAGGGCCTTGCGTTGCAAGTTTCCGGAAGCACCAGTGCAGCCAGGCACCGATACACGCACCGAGCGCAAGCAAAGTGCGCCGAACTTCCGTGTCAGCCCTTGGTGCCTGGCAGCGAGTCTGCTTCCGTCTTCTCTCACACCCGGCGTTACACTTGTGCTTCTCTTCGCCTATTTCCAGACCGTCTTTTTCTTGTTTCGGCTGCCTCGGGGGCCCGAAGATCCCACAAGATCCCACAAGATCCTCGCCTGTTTTTCCCAGTGGATTTCGGCTGACCACGTGACCCGTCCACTGACCCGCTCACTCGCAGTGGCTCTCTCTCCGCGTGTCCAGGCCCGCTCGCTCAACTCGCTCTACGTCTTCCACATCGCTTCGTAGGACGGAGGCCCCAGCAGTGTGGCACGCCCGCTCGGTCCGAATTTTGTGTGGCTGCAGCTACCACCATTTGCTTGGCAGCTGGAAAAAACAAAACTCCAAACTGCAGGATGATTCCCCCCGAGTGCAGATGCACAGTTTAAGTACGCGACTGCTCAGAGCTGATGTCAGTAAAACGGGAGACCGCCTTCGTGTGTTGCAAGGTCTGAGCTCGAGTGCGCATTGCAGTCTAGGCGGTTCCAACACAGCGCACCTCCAACCCCCACATACTGCTAGGCTAAGCCCCCTCTGTCCCTCGCTCTATTTTGCACCGTCCTCTTCGAGCTCTTTGCAAATGCCTCCTGTCTCTGGCGAGCAGCTATCCCTAAACCTGCCAGCCCAGGAGGAACCGAGTCAGGCTTGCCTGCTGCAAGAGAGTCACATCCTCGAGGGAGCTTCGAACTGGTCCAGGAGCTGACACGTCCAAAGCACTCTTCGCAAGGCATGCCCCACGGCAATGTCTGGATGAAGGCCTGCATGCTCACAGAGGAGAACAGGCGCTGGAGATACTTACAGCAAAAGGAGCCGAACGGAGCTGAATAGAGTGAATTCGGAACGGCCTCAGAGAGCGCACTATGTTTCGTGCCACCGCTAGGAACACCATGCTACCAAACAATCATTGACTAGCCATCATGCCTTTGAGCTTCAGTACACTGCGGAAGCACAAATTACTGCACATGCCAAGCTGCATGAGTTCTGTCACGTTTGAGGCCTGCAGCAACCGTGACGGCACATCAACATCATGCGCTTTTTTTGTGCATACAAGCAACTGCAACATGCTCGCTTGGCATGTCAGAACCTCAAAAGTCAGCCGTCAGATGTTGTCAGTCTGAGGCGTGGCTTTAGCACTGCTTCACATCTGGAGACGTCACGCCCGCGCATTGGTCGACGGTTGCCTTGTTCCCTTGGGAGCAACTCAAGCAGCTACCAGAGCACCAGGCACCGAAGAGGCACGGCATCTTGCAGTTGTCGTAGCTGTACTGGCCAGACATGGCATAGCAGCTGGCACAGCCGGAGCTAAGTTGAACCTTCTCCATGATGCAATTCTGCATCTGACCCTGTTTGAAGCCACTCCAGAAGCTGTATGAACCCTTGCCGCATTGCGACAAGATCTTGGGAAAGGTGCCATCAGCATTACCGCCCCCAAACTTCTGCATGAGGGCCACATCTGCAGCTGTGCACTTGCCGGCAGTCTTGTTCACCGACTGACTTGGCTGAAGCACTTCCTTTGCCTCCTTTTGCGCACGCAGCTGATGGAGCTCAAGACTGCAGGCTCCGTCGTCACCGCACTCGTCATCAACAAACTCAGTTCCCCAAACGCTGAGCACGCAAAGGCCAAGGCCGAACCAAAATCGCATCAGTGCCGTCGCCTCACTTGGGTGACAGCTTATGCAAACACACACAGACAGCAGCAGTGCAGCGTCATGCAGTGTCCTATCGGAGGCCCAGGTGGTTGTGCTAAGGATGCGGCCATGGATATATGCGCTTTCCTCTATCGCTAAGAGCAGATCGCTGAAGTTTTAAGCGCTGCGGCCAAAGCAGGCAAGACTCTCAGAACATGTCAAATACGCAACGTTGCATTTTCAGGGATCAGTGAAAAATGCGTGGGCAGCTCTTCCTTAGCAACTAGGTTACAGCCAGTGCTTCAAGAAAACAATGAAGGACATACTTTAGGCGGCCCTGTGCAGCTGCACGAATGCTTGAACTTTTACCATTCTAGAAAGAACCGCGCTTTCCTCTTTTCCCAACGGTGGCCACGGGGCTCTGTGCATAGGAGGAAGCGACTTAGGGCGCCTCATCCGGATCTGGCAGAAAGATCCGCATCCGATCTGCAGGCCCCACCTTCCAGCAGGAGTTTTGTTAAGAAAAACCGCTTAAGGCCAGGCCACGGAAAGCCTCGAGGTCTCGCATGTCGGTATCTGTTAGCTCCTGGCATCGAGACTCTCGACGTGGCTGAAAGGAGGAGATCCAGTAAAGCAAACGAGGCACAAAAATAGAATGGCTTTCGGCAATACGGATCGGGCTCATGCGCCCGGGACCGTGTGCTCACAGCAGACGCTGTTGCTTGACACTCTTGGGTTTCGGAGAGATGTGGTGGATGGAGTCACCTTCGTCAGTCCTGTGTTCGCTCAGTCCGGTGTCTCGTTGCGAGGAGTCGGAGCGACGAAGGGTGTGTGAGGCAACCCCGAAAGGCGAGCTCCGACACTAGTCTCGCAACACCATTTGCAAGACTGAGCCCCTCATGCCATAACCCACCCTCTTCCACCGGTCCGGAACTGGCTACAACGCCCCCTCTCCGTCGGCGAGCGGGCCTTTCGTACCAAAATCGATACATTCGAGCACCGGCCCTGATCGACAGTAGCTAGAAGGAAGGCTTCGGGTTGCGAGGCTACAGCATGTGCAGTAGATCCCCTTGTACTTGTGACCCAAATAGTCTCTTCTTTCTCGGGTCGCAGAGCCAGCAACCAAGTGTTGTGCGGCAGCGCGGGCACTAAGGACATTCTGACTCCAAGGGACGCGGCATCCTACCGGACAGGAAAATTAAGAACCGGGCGTGAGCCGACGGGCTTCTCTTCGTCTCACGGGTGCTCGTATAGAAAGTCCTTTAAGCTCTTGACCCTTCAGGTACACTTGATCGCATGACTCGGCGAAACGAAGCTGAACGTTTGGTGACCAAACTGCCGGCGCCGAGGCTCTGGGCGATACCCCTGTGCACGCAAGGGTGTACTCGGTGCTCTTCTCTTCTTCTCTGCTTCCACATTGCATGTGGGCCACAAGGATGCTCAAAAAGCTGGCACAACGCACGACGGTCTCCACGGAGGAGAAGACAACAGAGTCGAAATTGAGCGCACAAGACTGTCCTGTGCAAAAACCAAAATCACATCATCAGTGAGATATGTTTGTGTGGCATACAGGAAGCCAGTGACTATAACCCGGTGAGAGGGGGGACTGGGTGCTCTTCTCTCTGTTGCTTGCTAGATTGCTTGCTTGCCGCGCGATTGCGGCGCCCCTCCCCTGCGCGAACGCGTCACGCCTGACTCTCTCTCTCTCTCTCTCGCTCACCCTCTCTCTCCCTCACCTGGCGAGGTTTCTTGTGCGTTGTGCTCGCATGCTCGGATGCAACACGTCCAATCTGCCGCTGGCACCCATCCAAAGAGATCCAAATTCTGGGCCATTCGCTTGTCCGAAGAGGTTGACCTCGCAGCTGCAAAACCCAGGCCTTCAACCTTAACTCCGTCCATCGCAGCGCACTCATCTGCGAGGATCATCAACCTTTCTACCATGGCACGGTCAAGTCGCGAGGCAGAGCTGGGAAACCCTGAGCTCATATGGACTCAGTCGGGTCAACCCCAGATGCCGCCATCTGGGGTGCATTGGGGCGCTACGTATGCTATGGTTACTGACCACCGTCTACAGCAGATGCTGGGTCGGCGATGTGATCGCCGGCAAACTGACCATGAGCTCCCTCTTGTGGGGGCTCCGGGTAAGGCTCTGCATGGTCACCAGCTTCGTTTACCGAATTCTGCATGTCAGGTTCTGGAACCTGCCCATCCGGATGCTCGACACCTTCTGCCGGGAAATTGGGATAATTCGGCTCGTTGAAACCGTGCTCCTGCATTTCCTGCTGGGCCAATGCATCCAGCTCTTGTGAGGCAGGGTGCTTTGCCATGCCATCAGCTTCAGCTTCGCCGTCACCATGGAAGCCTCCTTGCGGAGGTTCTCCGTGCCCGACCGGCCCATCTCCTCCGTGTTCTCGGCCTGGACCTTCTGGATCGGCTTCCCAGTCTGCTGCTGGCGAATTCTCGGGGTGCGCAAGACCGTGCCTGCTTCGATATGCTGCTTCCGCCATCTCTTGCGGGCTAGGGGGCTCGTCGGGCTCGTTCGCTCCCTCTGGCCCCCAATGAGGGCTCTGCGCGCCCTCGTGTTCCATGCCCGGAGAGTGCTCCGGGGGCTCCTCGAAGACCTGCTCCCTTTCGGCGGGTGCCTTGCAGCAGAGAGGCCACAAGCCGTGCCGTGTCATGCACGCATTTCTGTATGCAACCTATGCATGTACATCGTATGTCTGAAACATGCACAGGTTTGAGAGGGGCGACTGGCCGAAACCTTGTGGTAGGGATGCGACTACATTGTGACTACATGTGACTACTCGAACTCACCTCCGCATGCTGTCTTTCTCTGTGTGTTTGTGCACGCAAATGCCACAATGCATCCGGGTAACATCCTCTGCGACTTGTTCTGCGATTTGTACCAAACCTCAACATCAACAGATCTGCCAATGCCCACAATACAGATGAATCTGGATGCCGATTCCTGAGGGCAAGTCTGATATCAACAGCACCTCCACTTTGAAGAAGCACTGTCGTGTGCTCATCTTCGGTTACGGGCTCTGCCGCAGCATGAAGAATCTGACCTGGAAGCACCTGACCACATTACGTCCATGAAAGCATGGTGGAAGGCTCTACTCAGTCCCTTCCCAGGCGCACCTCACCAGCTTCAGATCCCCAGATCGCACCGTGCACATCTGTTTGCAGAACTGGCCCTTGGCGAACCACCTGCCAGTACCAACTCCAAAGTCATGCCTGCCCATATGCGACAGTCACGAGCAAACAAGTGGATACAAGTCCAGGCCAATGCCAAGTAAGGACACAAAACGAAACAACACATTCCCATACAGTTGATGCTGAATAAAGGAACACAAAATGTTAATGCTCGCACATGAACAAAGTGAATATGGAGCGCGCACACACACACACACACCGGCATCCTACTCTGACCCCGGCTCCACGTTGATGATGCCACATCATTGACAAGTTATTTCCATGTCAGCATGAACAAGCCGACTTGTGTGTGTGCGCGCCCCCCCCCCCCTCAACGTTCCTATCAGGCTTTGTTAAAGGGGGCCAGCCGGTGCACGGCGCGAGAACGACGAGTCGCGCGTTTGTCAGTGGCTCCGGTGCCTCCAAATTTGCAGGCCCTGAATCAATTCTCGCTGGCCTCGCCTGTGCTCGATGTGCAGAGTTGCTGCTGCTGCTGCTGCATTGTGATGTGCAAAGGGAGTCGAGTGACCAGAGTCCGTAAACTTCAAAGGGGCCAATAAAGCCACTGAGCCATGCAGTACCCAACGCCCTTCCGTTTCGGAAGAGCACCCCCGCCTGCAGCACGGTACCTGCCAAAAGGCCATCCAAGACTTCGGCGCAAGACGTCACTTTGGACTCCGGCTGGCCGCCTTCATGTATGGCTTCAGGTTGGAAATCCTGTGCTTCCAGTTGCTGACCTTCAACCTGGCGAGGCTCCGAGAGGTGCACAGCCACCGGTAACTGTGCAAAGTTCACGACTTAGTGACAAGCTGGCTGTGATTTGTAGAGGGCGGCATCCTCCGGATCCGCAATCTTGACTCGGGACGCCTGCAAGCCGAAGGATCCTGCTGGTCCCACCGAACACTGAAACGTGCATTAGGAAAGCCTCCACAGCCCCGGCTGGCTCCAACAGAACGAGCGTGTGACCATCCTGCGTCACAGGCTCCGATGCAGCCTCGACCAGATGGCCTGCGATGACCTGTGCAGACGGTGCGGGTGACTCTGGACTTGAATCGAACACACGGAGAGCGGCAGCAGCAGCATGTGGCGGCCTGACCAATATCGTGGCCCCAGACAGGCCCGTTCTCATCCTTAGCTGCATACAAGCAAAATGCAGGGCAGCCCCCACAAACATTGCCACTGCTGATCACGGCATGTACTTCCAACCTCAACCGAGCCACCACGGCAATCAGTGGGCCGTTCCGGGTAATCTCCAAGATAGAGCCTGGCCGAGAGCTTGACCACAAAAAGCATCAGTCAAAATCGGCGTGTGCCTTTCGTGATGTCATCCCAGGAGTGCTTTGGTGCCGCATGTCTTTGAGCGGATCCGGATCTCATCGGCTTCGGTTCGGGCACTGCTGGGCTTGACCTTCAGACTCTCAAATGCTTATTGACGACATGCATCGGAGCCGGCAGGAACAAGCTGTGTGCTGTGGCCGCAGATCTGAAAGCAGCATGAGGAGTTCAGCAGAAGCAGGTTGGTCCGCCACAGCTCCATTTCTGCTGGATCTCCAAGAGTTGGTCCGCTTCACACTAGTGTTCGAAGCACCTTGCTCCTATATGAGGGAATACCATGAAGGCAGCACGAGTTCGAGTTGAGGAAGGCTCTTGTCGTGCTCAAGATCTCGTCGCCCTGCGAGGGCTTCGACGAGAATGTCTCTCCCTTTCGAATTTGTTCGTTGTGACTGCTTTGTGTCGGCATTTGTTTGACCTCGTCACGAGCCGTGGGTCGAGCATCGTCTTTGTCCAGGTGCGCAGCATTTTAGCTTTTCGATTTTGGTGTACTATGCACACTCGCCCTTTCGCTTTGCCTTATGAACCATCCATTTCCCTACCAGCGAGTCATTGCCAGCAAGCTGCGAGGATGCACTGAGCCTCGGCTTCGCCATTTGCAAGTCAGCGACACAGGTCAACTCTCCCCAGGCCGAGCCGCAACCATACTATCGCCACAAGGATGCAAACACAAAGAGCCACCTGTGCGTTTACGTTGGAAGAAAATCTGACGTTGCAACCTGTGCATCAGGTCGCCTTCTGTGTGGTGCTGAGTCTTCTCAGCTGTGTCAGCAGCTGCGACTGCAGGTCCTATGGCGGTGAGTTGAGACAAATTTGGAGAGCTCTCTTTTGCAAGTCGCTTTGGCACCCCCTTGTCCTGTCGATGACTGTCGTCCTGACAGCACTCTGATGCTCACATCGCGAACGCGCACAATCCCGGCTGTGTATTGCAGGCCTCGCCATCGGGCGCTGACCACTTCACCTCCCGGGCCTGGCCGCATCGACTACACCTGGCCTAGGCCTGGCCTTTGCATAGCCTGTGCACCTTTGCATTTCAGCGGAGCCGTACTCCAAACACTGTTCGGATCTGCGGGGCCTGTACGTTTCGAGGACGCGCTCCGAGCTCTACGTCCTCGGCGATCTTGCCATACCTGTGCCAAACACAACGTTCCGTTGACGCAGCGGTTCGCGACATGCGATGGTCTTCGCGCCTGGTGGACGCCATCAGTGCGGAGCCATGGCTATACTCGAAAGCTTACGGATTACAGCCATGGGACCACAGTATGTTGATAGGACAGGTTGTCTAGCTTGCCACCTCAAACTCTGAGACCGACAAGAACACACTGCACCGCTGTACACTTCGAGTCTTCCTGACAAGCCGGCGAATGCTGCGAATGGGCCGTCACGGCACGATGTCTTCATGAGGACATGTGAGACACATGAAGTACAGTTGTGGTTGCACTCACCAATCTCTTTAATATCAAGAGCCCTGTCTACACTCACCAAACCTCTAAGATGAAGCGTGCGCTATATACTTGGGGTTGCACGGAATCACCGCCACACCCTGCTGCACCGCCCAGCGCAGCAGCACCTGTTCGCCAAAACAGTGCAGACGCTCATCTCATCGTTCATCTAAATCTAAACATAAACTTCCAAACTGGCTGGACAAGGTGCTTGAGCTGGCGACCGGCCCACTCTCTTTGAAACCTTCGCGACCGCCTTGCTTTGGAATCATTTTGAGAAGCTCCCCTCTGCTGCCGGCTCAGCCGAAGACTGGTGAGCGGAGGGTGGCGCCACCCAGCAAGGAGCTTCCCAAGGAACCGTAGGCCTGGCGAAGACTGTAGTCGCGTAGTCCCAGGATGCCGGCGAGAGACTTGGCAAGGTGTCGGCGAGGCCATCAGCGCTATATGCTTCTCTTTGCAGTACCTTGGTCGCAGTTCTAATGCGGACATAGCCTGGGAGGTGCCTTGAGGCGCTGTTGTTCGGGTGTGTTCAGAAAGGCACGGGCTCGGGTCTGAAACTTCGAGGTTCAAAGACCCCGTGTGGCTTTAATAGGCCTGGAGCGACAGCTTTAACGCCGCCGCGATGTGACTGTATGCATGTACAGGCGCAGGTGTTTATTGTATGCTTGTGTCTGTGTAAGCAATGTGTACCTACGCATATGTATGCATGTGTCTGTCTGTATGTATGTATGTATGTAGGCAAGGCTAATCAGCGAGCGATTGCTGCAGGCCCCAGTGCTTCGTTTCAATCGCTCCGCCATGGATGCTGGTGGGGAACAGAAGCACGTCATGAGCCACATCACTGGTGAACCTGCCTATGCGGGCACTGCCGACTCAGAGTTTGGACAATTGTTCGCCGACTTGTGCCACTTGGGCCTATTTCGCTGCGGGCCCTACGTGAGGAGTTGCAGCTGAATCTTGAAACGAGCCTGGTAAGCCACAAGGCAGAGATCCGCTGTCTAGCTGAGCATGCACTCCGGGAGCTTACTTTGGAACAGCAGTCGGTCCCTACAGGGATTTGCGATGGAGTTAGGGAGCCGATTCCTCTTGCTTTGGGGAAGCTTGACCGGGGTCGGGCCCTTTTCCGTTTGCTGAGTGACCACCTGGATGAATGGGGCAAGCAGGGTGGTGTACAGACTGTCGATGTCCATTGGGAGCTCTTCCGACTCGAGCACGTAGGCAAGTGTCGCAATGAGTGGAAGAACGCATACATTACAAACTCGTTGCCGTTTCAAGCAGAGACGTTTGGTCCTGCTGCCGGTCCCTGTGGCTGCGGATCATTCCAGCGACGATCAGGCAAGTACTCGTACTAGATACTGGCAGTGAGAGGAAGCGTGGTCGGGCGGTGGTGGTGCATGACGGCTAGGTTGAGTGAAGGTAGGGTTGTACTCAATGATGAACGCCACTCACAAGTCACAAGGAGCCTTGACACGAATTCAGATTCCAATGCTGTGGCTTGCCAAGCCTTGCATGCGCAGCACTGCAGTCGAGACACTTTCGCAAGGCCAGCTGAGGCCACCAGGGATGCAGCTCGATCTGGCGGCAGTGCTTTGCACGAAGAGCGCATAACAAGTGTTCTGCGCAAAAGGGGTGAGTCTGTGCAGCTCTGAAGAGAGATCCTTGCACATCTGCTTCGTCGGCATCACGCCCTCCCAGTATTCTTGCTGCTGCAATTTCGCAGGCAGCTTAAAGAGACCTGCTCAACCTCCGCTTTCAGAACAGAATCTATGTTTGTGCAGGGTAGCTCGGAACAAGTGCTAGCAAGATGCTGAACCAGGCTACTACCAACACTGCACCACGCCTGGTTCACTGCGATTGGCAATGATGGACCATCCGCCAACAATGCAGAGAGGTGCTTCACGCCGAAATTTGACACACCCAGGGCTCGCACCTGATGCTGCTGGCTTAGGACCATACATGGTCAAGTACACAGTCACGTCATCTATGCCGTATCGTCATTAAGCGTCAGACAGGCCGTCCGAAAATACCTTCTCAACCGTGCAAACGTATGGCCCAATCCGAAAAGTATGGCCCAATCCGAAAAGCACACATATTCTACCTAAATGTGCTACCTTGCCTGCACTGTGCGCTTCCCGAAGCCACGCCCGAAATCTTTCTCGCCTTTCCGATTCATGATTCATGAGACCCTAGCCCAGAAAGCTCAGGTTGCCGTATCCACTGTAACTCCAAAAAGACAAGCCGGAGTACAGAGCAACCTGCACCTATATGGTACAAACCGAACACCCCACATTGCTATGTATGGTAAACGTCAAGTGATGGTGAGCAACCGCGGCCTTGCCCTCCATGTAGGCCTTTTCCAGCCCTTTCCATGCAGCAGCTCGGCATGCCCGCCATGACACGCCTGCACAGGCCGGGAGCGGATCCTCCAAACAACTTGCACAGACCGTGAGGAGGTGCATACTGAATGGATTCGTGAGCAGTCTGCATCACACAGCTCCTTTTTGTCGAAGTTAGAGGGCCAGTGGAGCAGGACCTGAGACGAGAGCACGAAACGAAACCTCACGAATGAAGCACTTTGCTCAGCAACAGCAGTCTTCACCGAGAAGTTGGCTAAATCCAGGTGCGTGCCAAGCTCTTTCACGCTTCGGAGGACTGCTTCGTAGGTTTCGTCAAATCCTTGGGCGGGCGAGAAAGTTGTCGAAGTGTCCCTCCCCAGACTCCGCCACGCGTTTTCCATGGAATATCCATGTTGACACTGCGCGGCAAAGTAGCATCATGCGAAGTGAGGCTTGACTGTCTAGCGAAAAGGACATTAGGCCGAGACCCATCTGAGTTGGTGGAATCTTGCTGACGATAAATACCTCATTAACACGACTCAAGCGGCCGACGGAGCTTCACAGTTTCTCCCTTCCCAACAAACTCACATGTGTGCCTCCTCGCGTGGTATCTTGCTGTTGGCAACGACGCGTCCGATGTCAACATGGTTTTCATACAGCACCGCCGTGTCAACCTCGTCCATCGCACCCTCCCGATCAGACGGAGGCCAGCCGTGCAATGAACGCAGGCTTCAGTGGGAAGATCTCATGATCTCATGCTAGGAGCAGAGCCATGCGTCCACCGAGCTGGAAAAACGAGGTCAAGGATTGCCGCACCTTTATCTCAGCCAGAGTGCCTCAGCCTGCCCTAGAAGCATATCCTGCCTTCTCGCCCTGCACGCCATTGGTGCCGAACCCACGCAATGGCATCCGAACACCTCGATACCTGAAGGCTTGGCGGCCCGGTCCATTACAAGCAAAGCCGCAAAGAAGCGCAAAAAAACCCACACGGGTGGCACCCGCGAAGCTGAACAGCAGGTCCACCAGGATGCTCCTGGTTGCAAATTGTATTCGGTAAGACTTGTGAAGCATTTCAGCTTTCTGTGCGTCTTCTGCGTAGGGTGTGTCTTCTGCTTCGGTACACACAACAAATTGTTCTACGCAACCGGGATCCGATCTGAAACTGACCCTCCATCGACTTCAGAAAGCCATGGGCAATGACGAACCTTTACATTATGAACATCATCAACCTGTTGATGATGAGACAGGAGAGGGCGTAGCAAGTGGGTGAGAATGCCAACTCCAGCCTTGTCCCTGTCTACTCTCTTTTCGGCCCTATTGCGTTCTTTGCAAGGCTCCGACTACATGCCATGGCTTGAAGACGAATTCAGGCTCGGTTCTTGTGCAGCCGTGCTGGGACCCGAGCCTTCACCTGATCCGCCGCACGGGCGATATCACGGAGCACGAAGCGAGCGCAAAGCTCGCCAACAAGTCTGGCAGGTGCATCCTGCCAGCAAAGTGTGTGTTACAGTGGCAGCCGGTCAGAACCTCATAATGGCAAAGGAGGCCGGTGTGGCACTGTGTCCAGATGGTGATTCGGGATAAACCGAGGTGTCTGCTACCTCGGTAATCGCCCGCTTCGCTCGCACCCCACCAATCACGGTGCAAGCATGGCGATTGCAGACTTCAGCAAGGTGCACGTAAGTTCGTCGTACCAAGGACGCGAAGCCTGTCAGCAGGTGAGAAAGTTTCAGAGGTGGAAGGAAGTGGCACTAGTTCACTATTCTGGGGCCATGGCTGCGAATCAACAACGCCAGGAGCTCCATCTCTGTCTATTCGAGCCGTCCTGCACCATCCGAAGCCTACTGATAGCTTGTCTCTGCTCCGATGCTGTTTTGGCTGCCCGACTTTTCAGCCGCTGCGGGTCCAAGCATCGTCCCGAGTCCGTTGACTCTGTTGGACCTTGCCCACGTTGACAGGAGAAGGCATCTTACATCGACCGTCTTCAAAGTTCGCACAGTTCGCTGGCGTTGGTGTGATTTTGCTGCATCATGTTTCGCCGTGAATCGGCTGCAACCTGGGCTGCGGAAGCATTACTGCTTAGCATGAGAGGATGCAGTGGCCCATGTCATCTCCGCACGCATGCCACGCTTGTCAGGCACCTCCTAGCCGTTAACAGTGCGTCAGCTTGTCCGGCTTCTCGATAAATCCGTTAACATCGACGCATCGAAGTCTTCGGGTCGTCGTGCAACTCAAGAAATATCTCCTGCTGAAGCAGCAGCCTGTGATCCGAGAACCAGAATCCTGTGCTTCAGTTCCGGATGTTGAAGCAATCCGTGTGGAGACAGCGACAGCCTGCGAAGGCAAAGACATAGATGTTTGCAATATCAGTGTAGTGTTCCATTTTATCAGGCGGACACGCCTTGGTCTTTTGGTTGGGGATTCCTCTCCGCTCGTTCATATCATGGAAGAGCTTAGAGATCATGCTATCTCTGCACCCTGAAATTTCCAACAGACTTTACGCAGATCGTGCAAGCATGTCGCAAATACGTGGTGACGTGTCGGCTACATAACATGTCTGGAGATTCGAGCCTGGAGCGCAGGTGATGATCGGATCGCAGAGAGCTCAGGAGTTTCGCAGACTCGACCAAATCCTCTTCCACTGGAGCCGAAGAGTTACCTCACTATGGGCACAATTGAGGATGCACCGGTCAACCTGCCCTCCTAGAGTTGCAAAGACTAAACATGCGAATTCACGAAGCTTTCAGGAGCCGCTCGAGCAAGAGTTTGAAAGTACCAGATGGACCGAACGCGGACCAAGGTGTGGCAAACGCTTCCTACACAGTTAGGCATCGTGTTCGGCAAGATCTTAGGTATCAAATATGTAGCTGCGAAAAGGTCGAGGGCACGATTATGCGAACGAATGGAGTGGCTGCTACTTCACCCCCAGGCTTTGAGTAGGTAAAACAACTCGGAAGTGCCACTTGCTGCTGCCTGCTGCCTTGGAAGAGCTTCTTGCTGACTGCTCGGAGAAGCTCGGGATCCAAGCCGATCACAAAGGGATGATGAGGGATCAGAGTTGCCACAAAAACATAAGGATCTCCCAGCAGGATGCGGTGATTGTTCCAATACAGAAGAGCTTCTCCATTTCGGGCACCGGAAATCTTGGAGGCGTGCTGCAGCAAAAGAGCCGAGGGCAGCTCGAACCAGCCGCTCTTCATCTCAACAATCGCCACGGCAATCCCCCGCCACGCCTCGTCACCAGGACTGCCTGCCAAAACCACCACGTCAACCTCGCCGCATATGCGCCTCTTAGAATCGTGCCATGTGCAGCCCTGGAGGAACTTGAACTCGCAGTCTGGGGCCCCTCTGGCATTGGGAGCACTAGGAAAGAGATCTGCTCTCGACTGCAGCAGCGCCACCGCGAGAGCTGCTGCAAGCCTTGGAATCGACAAAAGTCACACCCAGAAACATGTCTGATCCAAGCCCTCCGGCACCCCTGGCATGATCCCCGAAGCGTTCATGCTTTCGACCGCAAGCACCTGGCATCGGTGGCTTCGAAGTCGCTGCCGTGAATGCGGCGGTCGTCCCCCTGTGCCCGATCGAAAGCCTGGTACTGGGCCAGCAGCTCTTCGCCACCCCCTTCCCTCCACAAACTCCGAACCCGCTGCCACCTCAAATGCTCCGGATCCAGGCTGAGCTCGCTCCAAAGCCGTGCTGCTCTCTCTGCATGTTCAACTCCTCGGTCAGCTCCCGTGCTTTTAATCTGCGAAAGCTGCTTCGCAAGCTCCTCCTCACTTGGCACCGGAAGACCTTGAGCTCGTGCCTTTCTGCAGAGTCCTTCCCGAATCTTCTCCTCGTGGCATTCGAGCTTGCGGGGTTTCTTCGCTGCCTCGCATGCGGCCTGCCACTGCAAGTAGCGCCGACTCGGCTTCACGGATTCAACCGCCTCTGCAACAGCCAGAGCAGGCACATCATTACTCAAGTCCAGAAGCTCGTACAACTCAGCCATAGGTGATGGTGGCACAGCCGCTGTCTGGAACTTCTGAGTCAAAGCTTTCAGACTTTGGCTTCGTGGTGACTCGTGCAGTGTTCTTCGGATGTGGCGCAGAAATTCTTGAAACCCCTGCAGCTCTTGACAGCCTGCATGGCTTTCCTCGACTTCGTCTTCGTAAAGGTAGCTGATTGGATACTGGGCCAAAGACGTCTCAATCCGCCTTCGCAGGTCATCCTGATGCTCAAGCAAGCTCCATCCCGTTCTAAGATCCCTGGCAGTGAGGGTTCCATGGACAAGGGCCATCCCCTACTGAGACGGCTGATCCGGAGACATAGACATAGACACGGCGCTACGGCACCTGCAAATCGACCCGGTCCCGTTTGACAAATCTGACCTATCTGTACCCACATGCGAGAGGCACCTAAGCCGCTCTTTTGCTGTCCAGCATGCCCTTCATCCAAAGCCCCAGGCTCGGAGCATGAACAGCATGTTGCTGGGATTGGCTGAACCTTTTTGTTGCTGCCAGTGTTCGACTTGTGCGGGCAGAAGATGCAGGCACCATCCCAAATTGAAAGGCTCAAGATGGCTCGAGTTCAAACCACCCGTCACAGAAACTCCGTTGTGGATAACGGAACATTCTCAGAGCAAGTCCGGGGACAAGTGCTCTCCTTGGCACAAGGGAGTGTTCGGTTGGCGATGCTTTCGGCAGAAGAACTCCCCTGAGCGAGCAACATTCGCAAGCTGAAGGTTCTCCTTCTTCACGCTCACGAGTCTCCCACTGCTTCTCCTGGGAGTGGGGCGGAGCGGCGGAGCGTGGGTTCAGAATGTCCAAACGAGATCACCATGAAATCATGAGTAGATCTGTAGATCTCATCACCACTGAAACCAAGCATCGTCGGAACTGAAGCATCGGGCCTCCAAACATTGAGTCGACAGCGCTACTGCCACTATTTCATGCGCCGATGTATAATACCAGCACAAACAGCTGCAGCTGCACTGGATGATTGCGTCTTCTTCTGAAGCGCTCCCTACACTCAAACTTTGGAATGGTAGCTGGAAACTGGCCGCTTGCAACACGCAAACGAAAAATCGTGAAGCCCGCAGGCCTTATGGGCGGGGGGAACAGCTGGACCTGAAAGCTCCCACCTCGATCGAGACGGCCGTTGCCCGCTGCAAACTGCTACTTTGCACTCCGCGCCTGAATGCGTCGGAGCCTTCAGAACTTGACCAAGACGACCACTGGCACCCTCGCAGGACTGCACCGTTGCTGCTTCAGCCTCTCTACTGTAAAGAAAACATTCATAAGGCAAACCTGGAGAGCCACCACTCGAACCGTGTCTCCGGGAAGAAGCACCCGAGCATCCTTTCAGGCGTGACATTGCGCCGACTCCCCGATGGAGGGACCCAATTCAGCCCTTCGAGTTCTCCTCCTCGTCAGAATCAGGCAAATCTTCGCTGTCACTGGCGTCGGCTGCCTGTCAGCCGAACAGCAACAGCAGCCCGAGGACCATCCTAGACCCATCTCAACAGGATATGCCCTCGGCTGTTGACGCACGCTCTGCCGCATTTCTCTCTGATTGCAGTACTGCCTGGCTGCCTAAGCTTACTGCCCTGCGGAAAATCCCCGTGCAAGTCTTGCAAGAAGGGGCTGCGTTAAGCATGCAGAAGGATACAGCTGCTTGCACATACAAGTCTCGTTCAACTCACGGCTGGGCCGAGCGCGGTTGGCTTTGTAATTGGACAAGTGGTTAGTCAACATTCTGCGGAATTCAGCATCTGCAACCCAGGCTTCGAAGACCGCAGCCGCATAGGCATGATCGGGCAGTCAGGCAAGCAAAAAGACGTTCGTCGGGAGTGCCTCCTGGAAAAGGCATGCTCGAGACCTCTCATACGGGAGGCATGACATCCCACCTTGGTCTCTGACAGCCCTGATGATGCACGCCGCTCGATGGATGGACAAGCTGGGAAACGGACCGAAAAGAGTCGCCAGTGGGTCATCGGTGCACGACGCACCAATTTTCGAGGCGCTTTGCGACACACGCGCACAAGCTGCCTCCGGAAATCGGCACACACGCACACACACACACACACACACACAGCTAGCAGCACCAGAACTGTGCCAACGAGTTTGAACACAGAGCTGCCTGGATGTCATCACCTGAGCACAAAGGTTTTTTTAAGCGACTCTGAATGCCCGGAACGCTGATTTAAGCATTTAAGCAAGCCACTTCGCAAGGAACTGAATCCGCTTGCTGCCTGACTGGCACCCTGGAAAAGAGCACCCTTTCGGACACAGGAGCCTGGCCAAGTAATCAAGCCTAGAAGGCTGGAAAGCGCATTGATCAAAGCCGTGCCTAGTGCAGGATATCCTGCAGCGCTGGCAACGCAGCCGGCAGCCAGCAGTCCAGCCGACACAGCCATACCACAAGCCACTGTTGTTGGTGTGACCTGCTTCAGATCGTAATGTGGGACTACATCTCTGTAGCAAGCGTCCCTCCTGACTGTCAGGAAGCACGTGTTTCTTCGTGTCGCTCTGCTCATCTACCTAAGCCAAACAACTCAGCATGGTGCTTTCAATTACTGAATGCTCCGTCGTGCGGCAGAGGCAACCTAAGTCCAAAGCGAGCTGATGCGCGAGCTCCAAGACCGGAGCGAAGTCTTGTGCTACCTGGGCTGAATGGAAGGCTGCGGCGCAACCCAAATCATCAAAGCACCTGGTGGACGCTCTTTTCGCAGACCCAGGTCCTCGGCGCGACTCGGTGAGCATAGGCAGGCTGACGGACTCCACAGGTTTTCGGCCCAGCTGTCACTAGGCCTCGCACTCGAAAGCAAAGATTCCCAAGGCCTCCAGAGCTCAGTTGCTCAGTCAGAAACAGGATGAAACACGGAAGGAAGGAACCAGAAAGGAACCCCTGCCTTTTCAAGGTCCATGGGTGGTGCCCGGTGGGTCCCTTCCTGTGACACACGTCCACGACCTGCTTGCAGTTCCTCAGGTACCAAGGTACAGCTCTGGAACTGCTTGCATGTTATATTCGCCGAGGGTCCATATCGTATCGCCACCGTGAGCCTAGATCGCGGAGTTCTGTCCAGGCAGCAGCCACCTTCACAAACGCCACACCAGCAACTCGAAGTCGAGTGCAGCATGGCAAAGGGCACGACATCGAGGCACTGGGTGGTGATTCGTGCAATCAAGGCCAAAGAAGGACAGCGAGAGATTCACCCACTAAGAGCTGCCCTCACAGGCCTTGCAGAAGGACTCGACTTCTGGAGAAAGCTCGCTGGATCTGTGCACCCCGCAGCTTTAGCCGACACTGACATAGCGGACCCTCAAAGACTGTGCTCGCAGCTGTTAAGCAGGAGCCTGAGCGTAGCGGGATGAACTTCCACAGCTTTGCGAAGGAAGCACTGCCGCAGGTCCATCTCGGATGCATCTGGATCAGCACCCAGCCTTCAGATTGCAGGCAGATCACTGATCGCAGCATCTCGAAAAGACATCGCATCACAACCAGGAAACAGAGCATACTGCGTGTCCGCGGAATGGACCTTGGGCCAACGTTCTCTCAGCAACCTTCGCCGACTCTAGCCATGTCAAACTCTGAAGTATGCTCCCACCTCTCCATAGGACGGGGTCACTTCCGGAGCTGAACTGGCAGCCCGCCCTGCAGCCAGACTGCCAACTCCCAATATGAACGAAAGTTACTAGTAGGGCTTGAAATTAAAGCAGGTATGCGAGGTCGACGAACCATCTGCCAGATTGAGCGTGCTGCCTGGCTCCAGCTTTGCAGCATGCTGCATGGCTGTCTCGGACCTGAGAAGGCTTCTGCAAGCATGCAACTACGAGGCCAAGGAGGTCGAGACTCTGATGACTCTAGCGACCGAGCTCGTTGCTCTGGGTCTGGCACCATGACATGCGGCAAAAGTAAGGTTCAGTCTGAAGGTTACTGAAGCTCATCTGCATGGGATGCCGCTGTTGCCATCTGATGGCCGATATCAGCCGTTTGGCCGCTTGGCGCTTCACTACTAAATTAGGAATGAGCTACCGGGATGTGGCTTCCAAAGCCTGACTCGTGCTGGCGGGCTTGCTTGCTGGCTAAGACGCTGAAAGCAGCGAAGCTTGAATGCACGCAGTGAAGGCACTTCAACGCCAAACCGGGTCATCCTAAGGGCTCATTCATATTATCGGGACCTACCGCATCATCAACACGCTGAGCCCCAGGGCCCTGTACCTGACCCCCCCCAAACAAGCTTTAGTTCCCGAAGTAACCCTCGCGAGTCTGAAGGCAAACAGAAGCCCTGCAACCCGCATGCAGAGAGAAGAGCCCGAAAGCAACGGAAGCAACGAGCAGGTGCGGTCCCAGTGGGGTGGGAATAGTAGTAGATGTTGGCGCGAATCCATTGCCTGAACCAGGTCAAGAGCATAATTTCGATCCGCTCTCCCTCTGCTCCAAGCGAGCATCAACGAGCCAGGTCGACGCCAACTTCTGGAAGTCTGCGACTACCTGCACTATTTACACCGGCAACAAGGAAAAAAGTGGACAGCTCAGAATCCCGCCTCCACACCGGGGCTGATGCCCAGCTCGAAAGGAGCCATCTGCTCTGAGGCGAAAACACCCTCGCAGCTGACGCAGCATGCTCCGCTGATTGGACGCTGCAAGTCAAGCCTGATAAAGGAGGCGAATGGTGTTCGCGATTACCTGTCAAGTCTTTAAACTTCGGTGTGCCCCCTTCCCTTCGTCCCAGCTGAACACCAGCAGGTCTTCTCTACCACTCGAGACACGCAGCCAAAACGGACGCTCAGAACAACAACCTTGCGAGCAGCTGCTTTTTGGCACCGCTGGAGATACCCGCAAGACCCCCCTGTTTCAAGTCCCGGTGTTCGAGCAAACTCGCAAGCATCCTGGGGAACCATGAATCAACCGGGTTTGTAGAACAGATCCCGCATACTGTAAATACTGTTGACGCATCTTGTCAGTTCAATTGGCCGCCACGGGCACACTGCCAAGCAGCATCAGCAGCATCATTGGCCCCGCGTTTCTCATCCGGCTCTCAGACAAGTCCGCTGAGGCCGACATCAGCAGCATCATGCGACCCGGTTTTCGAAAGGTCCGACTAAAGCCCCTCTCCAAAGAGTCGATGCTTTCACGCTATGATGTCTAACACACAGTTGCGTCGTGGGAAACAGCAGAGCTTCCTTGGGCCTGAATGTCATCGCTGTTGCTCAGGGGCTTGTAGTCGAGATGGGGCGAGGCCATCGGGTGTCGAGACTGCACGACAAGCCTGCAAGAGACAGTGCCAAGAAGCTGTTCTGCTGAGATTTCAGGCGACCTTCCACGTGTACGCGCTTGCAGCAAGATGATCGTGAAAGTCCTCGGCCGTGCATGTTACGGCTGCTTGCTTTACGGGCCCAATATGATACGTTGTCAAGCTTCTAAGCGACTTGGCTTAAGCTGAGCACAAGCTGAGATGGCCTTCCAGGCAGCCCTCCAGCAACATAACCTTCAGGACAAGTTGGTAAAGAACCCGGACACAAAGCAGAACAACGTGGCAAAGAACACGATCCTAACCTCAGCGTCCACTGGACCAGGCTCACCCGGTCGATTGTCCGTGGCCTGCATGTTCTGCATACGAAACGACTGGGGTCGAATTTCGTCTCCTGTGCGTCCGACATTTAGGAACGCGTAGAGTTGTCCTGAGCTTCTTGCGCAGAACCAAGTTATAGCCAAGGAGCAACAGTCTGCCAGTGCTTGCGGCCGAGGTGCCAATGAACTGGTCCGTGTTTCCCAGATGCGTGGTTGTGTGTCCTATGCTGAATCACGACGGCAGTTCCAGTGATCCTTTATAGTTCCCAAGGCCACTTCCATCTTCGCTGAGGTGATACCCTTCCGGACCTGAAGGCTTTCTCCACATCATATACAGCTCAATATGGCTTCACGCTGTGGCTGAGGTCAGCACACGGGACGTTGGTATGCGCTACAATTGACAATCCGACGTGCTCATGGAAGTGGCGGCTGACAGAAGGCGAGCTGGCAATCACCTCTCATGAAGCTAGTGCGTACGGGGATTTGACGAGTGGCCTCAACTATGCCAGAAAGGCGGGAACACCCAGTCGAGCGAGCTCCTGCCGGCAACGCTGGTGAAGTCCCCCCGTCGTGTCCGGAGTCTAAGGAGTCCGCACTGCAGCTCCGGCCTTGGGTTCGGCCACACCGGACAACGTCAGCAACTTCGGAGTGGCGAGGACACCGGCTGCTACGATGACCTTCAGGGCGGGAGCGATGCTTTGTCTCGTCGCTGGCAGCACGAGAACCTCGTGTTTGGCCCGAATTCGCAGGCGGCGCTGAACCACCTGACAACGAACACGAGGAGATGTGCTCTCATCGTTCAGACGCGATCGTCCTCTGCCTGCGGAGCATCGTCAGAAGTCACCGAGATCTCCACACCAACGGCCTGCTCTGACGGTCGAATGCCAGAGCTTGATGTGCGTGGACGCCCCAGGTGGAGAGGCGAGAACTCAAGAAGCAATGCGTCTCGCAAAACAAAGGTGAGATGACAATGCAGTCGACATTGCCGATCCTTAGCGCCTTGAGATGTTTCAATGTCCTGCCGTCTTATGCAAGATACTGCATCTGCATGGCCTTGTTGCCGTCAAAGCTGATGCGCTCTGCAAAGGCATGAGTCAGCGTCTCCAGCCTCTCGGTATGCCAAGCAGCCATCAAGCCGATTTCTTGGAGTCATCTTGAATCAGATTGGTCAGGGACAGTCGAAGCCGGGATCCCGAAAAGGCCCTGCCCAAGCACCTCTTTGAATGGGAGTTGTGGTTCGTCAAGGAGGAAGTACAGTGTGCGTTGTGGCCCCTGGTCTTTCCTTTTGTGCTTCTTCCAGACCCGCTTTCAAGCGAAACTTCGTCGCTTCCGCCTGTCGTGCACATGCTGTAACCCGACCTTTCAACCCGGAGTGCCGATGCTCTCGCGGTCATATGGATCGTTAACCCCAACTGCCCGCTTAGCTCCGCCTCCTACTTTCACAGGATCTTCATTGCGGTTTTCTTGGCGACGCAAATCTTTTAACGTTAAACGAAACATGCGAGTCGTTCGTTTATTGTAATACTGTAATACTAATACTTGTGTCGAGTCATTTGGCAAGGCCGGAGGCCGGGGCGTCTAGACTTCATGGAACCCTGTGTAATCATGAAATTACCATACATGCATGCTACCCAGCCCCGTTATCCCCCTCTCAGGGCCCAGCTCGGGTCCCCCCTCCCCTGCACCCCCTTCCTGTCACTCCCCTGCCCCCTACCCTGGCTTTCCGTGCCAGTGCCTCTTCGCGTTTGCTGGGTTACCTGCCGCTCTCCCCCTCTGTGCCCCGGCCTGCTTTTCCCAACCCGTCTTCGCTTCTTTGCTGGGTTCTGGTTCCTTCCCTTCCCTCTGCAACGCCTACTTCCTCCGTTCTTCTTTGCCCTCGAGTTTCCCGCTTGCCGCTTTTGCAACATGACTGCGCGGGAAACTTAAACACTGAAATTCAAAACCCCAGCCTTGGACAATATCCTATTTGTCTGCATAACCAGCTGTTGGCTGCAGGCACGCATAAGGGAACTCGGAAACGGCTCCGAGGCGGGCGGCTCTCGCGCCAGCGGATTAACTACTTGCCATCAGTTGTCTTCAAGCTATCTCGACACAATGCTGGTCTCAATCAGTGAGCACGGGCCTGTGCGCAGGTGAGCCGTGAAAGGGGGCTGCCAGATCCTTGTACGTGGTTGATCGAGGTCTCCCACGAGCCTGATGAGAAATGCATCAAGCGTGGACAGGCTCAGGCCCTAGTGAACAGCTTATGCCAACGAGTGTCAGCCGTCACGCGAGAAATACGAGTTGGCTGACATCGCGGGTGCCCACAACCTGGGATGCCACAATCAGCATGGTGGACTGGCCGAGGGTCAGAATGTTTTTGGCTGCTGCAATAGCTTGTGTCATCTTCTGTCATTTCTAGCAAGGGCGGCTTCACGGTCGCATGTAGCTGGGGCAACCAGTCAAGTGTTCAATTTATCTCCAAACAGGGTCACACACGCACACATGCGCGCACACGACGTAGCTGCAGTATGTCTCAAGTGTGGGTGATGATGGGGTTCACCTACAGTCGGCGACGGTTTTTGTCGGCCTTGCTTGCTGCTCCCTGCCTCCCGTCCTACTTTCCCTCCCGCTAATCAGCTACTAGTTACTACAAGTAGCTATAATGGGGATGGGTACAGTAAGAAGCAGACTGGGACTGGCCCGGATGGTAAAACTGGAGCTCTTGGAAAGGATCTTGAAGCGTGTGCAACCCTTCGAAGAAACCCTATGTTTCCTCACGAACCTGATATAAAATCGTACCAACATAGAAGCAATCGCAAGGCATTGGTTCGTGCTGCCAGTGCACCGGCCCTCATTTGATGCCGGGCCGCCCATGGAGCGCCACATCCCACCGATGCCCTGGTTCGTCGCATTGCCATGAGGATCCACCCTGAGGCTGAGGGTCAGAGCTTCGCAGAGCCTTAGCGAGGCTCTGGGCCATGGTACTCTTAGCTGGCCTGAAGGGCACACGAATGCCTTCGAAGGCAGCAATCAGATTCCGGAAGAGAGGAGGAAGCTCCTTCACGTGCATCAAGACTGAAGCTACGTGGGATGATGTTCCAGCTATTCTTTGTCCCTCTTCGTTCCTTTGTCTGAGTTTCTGATGAGCTCCAAGCGTTGACGTGCCGGGTCCTCGGGAAAAGCAGACACCAAGGTCAGGTGACTGCCCGGCCTGGGCATGGTCAAAGCGACAGATGCGAACGCATGAAGACATCGGTCAAGTGCGCAGCAGATTGGAGCCCAGGTCTTCGAGTCCACCTTGGCATCCGCCCCCAACCTAGCGTGCCTCACGTAGTGTCACAAGGCGTCTTACTCTGGGCCTGTCGGCAGAGGTCGATGGTAATGTGCGTCTGGCTTGAAGCCGGGAGCTTCCATAGGTGCCTGCTGTCACTGCTGTCTGCGCCAGAAGACCGCAAGAGCGATTAGGGCACCAAGCTAGTGAAGCACCGCGCTTCTGGGAAGACACGGCGGGAGCCTCCAAGTTCTTGAAGGCGCTCAGGACTTCATCGACGGACCATCCAAAGGCCTGCAAAGTGAAACGGCGCTTCAGCAGAATCTCGAAGTTCCTGCATCGGTTCGGCTTCCTGTGGCCCTCAGAAGACTTGAAGGGCCTCGTACTCGAAAATGGATCCTCGCCTTGTGCAGCCAACCATTATGGAACTCGTCACACTGGCCCGAAGCGCAGCTGTGCCCCATGCGTGTAGATCATTGAGTTGACACTGGCAGTTCCTCCAACACCTCGACCAGTCGCATATGTCCACGTCCTGCAGGTAGATCATCCTTTCGCCGCTGATGTAGCTCTTGAGCTGACGTGTTGGAATGGAATGGCCTTCCTTCCCTTCCAACGCTGAAGTTCACCTCCAATGCCGGCCACCACGATTCCTTCTTTTGCGCACTGCGATCGGGATCCGCTACCTCCTCGCAGCGAGCATTCATGTTTCAGCAGACTCGCGAATATTGCGAAGACAAGTGCACCTCCGCAACACTCCAGGAACCGGCCTGGCAAATCAAGCATTGGTCTGAACCGTCGCTATATCAGTCGTCGGACTATTCAAAGGCCGGTACTTTCTGTCATCCGCACTGCTTCACAGCCTTGCCTCGAGGATGAGGACACGCCATGGCTGTCCATCGACGGTGTCTGCGGCAGCCAAGCGAGATGCGACGGCACCTAGGCATTTCTGGAACCAGAATAGCTCGCCACAGTTGCGAACAAAATCGGGTTGCGACTACCAGCGGAGCCAGCGCCAACCACGATGAAGTCGTATTCGCCGCCATCCTGCTGCGTGCAAAAGGAAAGCTGCATGGACAGCGCAGATGGTCAAGGATACTACTTGCAGCTAGCCTTCACCTGTCATCGGCAAGACCGAAACTTGTTCAACCGACACAGTTTTGGTCTTAGCATAGCTCTCCTCCAGTTCAATTCCTGCCGTCGATGCCTCCCACTTTGTATCATCGTCCGGCCTCGTGGCGGAAGCACAAAAAGCTTCACTCAGGCCTCGTTCAACAGGATGACGCTGTTCCCTTCAGCACAGGGCAAAGTTGAGGAAGGTCTTGCCTCCGTGGCAGCTTGTCAATGCCACAGCAACGGAGGTAGGTAAACTCCTTCAGGGAAAGATTTGTCAGCAGGAGTTCAACATCCCTGCTCAACACCTGAAGTCATGATGCACTGTCCGTCCTCATTCCAGCATGCAGGATTTCCGGTCAGCCCCCAGCGATCACCACAGCAAAAGTCCTCGTTGAAATCCTCAGCTGTGACTGTGCAGGGCATTGGGTCAACAGAGCAACCACGGAAAGAACAAACAGGCTTGCTGAAGCAGCTCAGTATCGTCTTGCCAGCACTCCGCATCAGGCCTCTGACACGGACCAACTCATGTATGTAGATCCAGAGTCACAGAACTGCTGGAGCTTCACCGAACTCACATGCAGCGGCTCTGAACTGAGGCTCCGGCAAGCCACTTGTCACACCTGCCTGATGCCGAACACAGTGGACATGTAAACTCACCAGACTCTAGATGCCGCAGCAGGATCCAACGGAACGGATTGAAACGTCATCCTCAGCCCGGGACTGTAGATGCGCTGGCAATGGCCAAAAGCACACCTACCACCATATTCCATCATTGCTCTGCAAGATGCTCGATATGCTGCTGCTTACAACGTTGTTTCAACAGGCTCCAAAGCCCTGTGCTTAGGTCTTACAGTTGCCGGGTCTGGACGGGAACTCTGGCTGGCAGCAGTGCAAGAACACATTACCTGTGGCCCGTGCGAGGATTACAGACTTGTTCCACGGTACTTGACGCATGAGTTTCAGCTACGTGGCTCAGCTTCGAGGAGCAGCAGCAAGTCATAAAAGAGTCAGATCATCCATTCATGTCATGAATGCAGCAGGCAAGCAGACTGCATGGAGAGCCAGTCCATCTTTCCGATTATGCGTACACAAAGACTGACTCCCTCAGATCACCAAATCGAGCGTCGTAGGCATTGATGTAAGCTGAACGTACATCTTCAAGCGAGAAATCAAGCTTTCCTGTTACAATGCTTTCATCTTGTGCAGCACTGGTATTCGAAAACGAGCTTGCTGGATCATCGGTGTTCAAGCCGAAGTTTAGGCCATGCTGTCGGAAGCTGCGGATGGCATCTAATGCCCAGGCTCCATGCAGCAGCGCGCTTTTGGGACAAGCTTCGACGTGCACCTTGCGCAACTTCAATGCCTGAAGAATGTGCTCGTCAAATGCTGCTGCATAACCATGACCGATGCGGTCGGCAGCCATTTCAAAGATAGCTGTGCGTACGTCATCACCCATGGTCTTGTTGAACTCACCAGCATGCACAGTCGTATTCAGTCCCAGGGCTTTCGCGTGCTTGAAGCAATCGATGTAGGCCCGATTAGGGAAATCGGTCTCGTCGCCTGCTAGGTCCAATCCAACAACACCTCCCATTGCCTTGTCTGCGAGTTTAGCTGCAAGCTCTGCAGTTTGAAAGCATCGCTGCGAGCTTGCCCCTCTCATCGCACAAAGAAGTTGATATACGACTACCCCATGTCTGACTGAGCCAGCAGCTAAGCCGTCCTGCACAGCTTTGACTGCCTGCTCCTCGGTTATGGAGGAGTTGTCAAGATCGCTCCTAGCAAGGCGCACAGGGTCATAGCGAACCTCAGTATAGAAAACACCAGACTCCGCTTGAAACTTCACGAAAGACTCTGCAGCCGCCTGGATGGAAGAGACACTGCCACCGATGATGTTGTTCACAGCATCAAAGCGGTGCCAGCCACTGAAAGTCCCCATGAATGCCTGTATGTCCTGGGTGCTCTTTGGAAGCCCGATACCAGGTAGCTCGAGCCCTCTCTTCTTGCAGATCGCCAGTAGCGTCGCAAAGTCCATCGAACCATCTAAGTGGACGTGAAGCTCTGCTCGGATAGGAGCAGCGAGGAGTTGGTCAGCACTGACCAGAAGCAAAGTGCTCAGAAGCCAGGGCGCCATCTGAACTGGACACTTCTCCTAAAAACAACCCACCTGTTGCTGAGCCATGAGATGACAGCATGAAGTTCGGCTAGTCGCAAGACAGCCTTCAACCCACTGACTCCCGTCCCACGGAAATCGCAGTGCTTACCGGCTTTTTTGCAAACGACAAGTAGTAGCCCAAGTCATCGACATGCCATCGGCGCACATCGCCACCGTTCACGGACCATGCGTGGCGCCAGGAGCCTCATAACACTCTGAAACTAGGCTCCACGTGCGGAATACCTCGCACCTTCGAATTCACGGAATCAATGCAATCATTGTATTCTGGCAAAAGCCGAATCTACTCACTACCAGGCCTCAGAATCATCTGTACATTCAGAGTCGCTGCCGGGATTGCATCGCAGCTCAGCCGGCAGGCTTTCTGTTTTGGCCTGGGGATTGGCTTGAATGGGACTGCTGCTTATATCTATGCAAGTCGCAAGCTTAGGCTGCAACCGTAGATCGACTGCTATTGCCTGCACTGTGCACCCACATGCGGGTATTGTAAGTCTATGAACTCGACGCTTATGGCCTCGTGGCTTCTGGCGAACAAGCTCGTGGTGGCGAACAAGCAATGCCGCAATCCCAGCCCGCAGTTCTGCATCCTTCAGTGTGAACTTTTGCGAATGCTACAACCTATTGATATTAATATTAATATTAATATATATATATATATATATATATATATATATATATAGGGCCACGCTGCGTCCTCATGCTCATCCAAACCATGTTCGCCTGCGGCTCCAAGCGATGGAAGGCCGCTGATCTGCTACACGCAACACATGACTCACATCCAGTCCTCAACATCTTATCTGCTTGCTTTGCATAGGTTCTAGCGGTGCAAGCCGCTAAAGCAATATTATCAGACGAGCCTCCAGTTTCAGTGGCTTCACGATCTTGGCTTCCCGCCTAACATGCGCACCAGCTACATGTCGTTTCAACATTGCTGCAAAATCAGCCGCTATGTTCTGGAAGATGGCCTTGCGCTTGCGCACAGACACCTTGATACTTCACATGTTGGGACAATGTGGTACAAAGCATAGCATGGTGCATGCGGACCAGGGTTTGCTGCTGGCTGCCTTAACGGAGAATGGCACGCAGCTCCTGAGCCCCACGCCTTGGGCAACATCGCGCGCACGGCCGCACGAAGCTCCCTGTCCTGCGAGCGGCAGATGATGTTGGCCTGGCAGGTGTGGCATTTTTGCAGGCTGAGCGTCACAACAAGTCTTCCGGGGCTGCACCATGTAGGAAGCAAGGGCAGCTGCATCAGCTTCCTGCGACTGGAAGCGTTGTCCACTGCCAAATGCAGCTCCCCAAATTCCTGTGCTGTGGCCTCCTTGTTGCTTTGCTCCGACGCCGTGGCCGCCTTGTTGCTTTGCTCCACAGCAGCTCCCGGCCTGATCCAGCGAACTTCGTGCGGACAGCTTGACCCAAGGTGGAGACGCCTCTGAAGCATGCCAGGCTCGATGTCAAAGTGGACTGGATCATCCAGCACTTCGCTGGCAAGCTCCCTGGCAGCAGTCACAATCTGCATGCAAAGAGCCTGTCCTTGCAAACATCGCATGCCGACGACATGCGAAGACATGCCTCAAGCCGTCATTCCAGTCATCCACCACCCACACTACCTCTGAGCGGTTGGCCCAGCCGGAACCGTTTCGCTTCAGGAATTTGGAGGCCCTCGAACAGCTGCCGAGCTGCTTGTGATGGCGGGGGAAGCCTTTGCAAGCTCTCCCGCAAGGCGTCGGCGTCACCGGCATCTTGGTCCTTCAGTATTTTGCAAGGCTGCAAGGCTCATCGCAAAGGCTGATCGAAAGTGTTATCGCAGGCGCCTTGGAGTGAAGTATCACGAGGAAGATGCTGTCGGAGTGGTCACCTAGCACCGACTTGGAGAGCGCTCGGCTGAGCCTCAGCACTTTGCAAAAGTGCATCATCGCCTGCGAAGCCAGGATCATCCGTGGCAGTCGACAGCCTGCATGTAACCCCGGGTAGGACGTGCAGAACCCGTGTCCCCAATCCCGAAACCCTCAACCACCCGGAAAGCCTCGGAAGCGATGTGCTCGAGCTCCAAAGGGCCTCGCAAACGAAGGCTCTTGGGCCAAACACGATCGAAAAATTCGGACAAGTCCTGCCTGGCTCCAGTTGATGGCCTGCTTCCAGGGCTCGCTCTTGGCCTCTGCTGCCTTCAGACGCAAGCTCAAACGACAGTTGTCTTTGGAGATTCTCCAAAATCACAATGTGACTTGCCGAGGGTCCTCGAACACCAGGCTCTTGTGCACGCTGCCTGGTTCCTTCCATCGAAGCAGAGCAGGCCTCAAGCAGCGCCAGGCTACCAGGCTAACACCAACGTGTTGTGAAGAATTTCAGACGGAAACAACCTTGCTCGATTCACTCTTCTGCATCTGTGCGCATCTGCTGTCTCTGCTACGGCTGCGATCTCAAAGCTTCGTATCTATGTACTCAGAGTCAGTCCTCATACAGAGCTTCAGACTTCGGAAACAGCTCTTGGCTCTGGTTTCCGTGTGCTGAGGGCAAGGCAACACGGCTGCTTCGGACCACCAAGCTTCCGGACAGCGGACCTTGGCCGGCAAACGTGCTCGGCCCGAAGCGCCGCGAGATTTTCAGTTGAAGAGTCCGGCTGAGACATCTTCGCCCTTCAAGATGGCATCCCAGATGCTCTCAAAGATCGGGTCATCCTCTACGAAAGAGACTTGGGAACGCAGCGCCGTGCAGCGGCGCTTGGCAGATCTTGCCTTCATCGTAAGGCCAAGCTGCTCAAGAACCTTCAGGGGCACAACTTCTTGGATCTTTCGATGTCTATGTGCCTGATGCAAAGGTAGCGACGGGCCTGTTGGCGCATTGAGGACATTGCGCCACAAAGGCTCTGAGATGGAGCTGCCGAGTTGAGCCCAAATGCCTTACCCCATGCACGGAGACTGGGGCGTGAAGAAGGTTGGTCGGCCTGGCGCTGCAAAGTCCGATTTCTGACCCGATCTCTCAAACGCGCTGGCAACGTCCCTTTTGCACAGTCCTGCACATGCGGGCATCTTGATTCTGCGCAGTGGCGGGTCTCTTCATGCAAGCTTCGCAGCAATTCGCAGCAGTTTTCTCACCTGCGTAGACGAGGCCCACAGGCAACGTGCCGTCGTGTCATGCATACTGAGTTACCAGGCAAGGCCTTAGGCAGCTGGCGGTGCAGCGGTGCCGGCCTGCCAGAAGCGGGCTGGAAGCCGCAGACAGGCCAAGGACGGATGCAAAGCGACGTCCAGTCCTTGGCTTGGGAGACTTCCTCACGAACGATTTTCGCCCAGCTGGGCTCTTTCCATTGCACCTTGCCGGACAAGCTACAGCTTCCCAAGTGCACGATGCAGGCAACTCCTTGCCTGCAAATTCTTTCTGAAAATTGGCAGGCCCTGCGTGAGCATCGTCTCGCCCAGCTTCCCGAACTCGTTACTGCGGAGCAGCTCTGCAATTGGCATGATTCTATACGGTCGGGTCCCTACTCATCACCGTGGCTCTGCTCTTCTGTTTGCCCTCGGTCGAGCCTCCCTTGTGTCATCAAATGTTTTCCAGGCGTTGTTTAAGCACTGCCGCGCTGCAACCCCTCGACGGCCCATGCCGCTAGCAAAGCCATGCCCGATTTTCCATGCCCGATTTTCTCGGCAATCCATCATCACGCAATGTGGCCAAAAGGTAGGAGTGTAGACCGTCAGCGGTGCAGTAACGCATAGGTTAGGTCTGCTGGGTTGGATTCGTCTGCATGGGCTAACGTGAATCAACATGAGCACATCACAGCTACTTGTAGTGGCCTGTACACTTTGAGCTCTCGAAGCTTTGGAGCTGCTCCACTCGACAAAGCTGCAACCAAAGCCTGCAGTTTGGGAGAATGTCAGCGAGTCGCAGCTCAAGAATTATCGCTGACTGTGACACACTGACTTGTCGCGGCGTTGCCTGTATGCCTGCATCTTTGATGTGGTTATGTGACAGGTCAAGTTCCGTCACATCCTGCACGGGTGATTGCAGTCTTCAATGCTGCCGCTGTTGCACAAAATTACTGCGTCCGCTGCATGTCCTCGTTGCCTTTCAGCTTCTCGATGACTTCAGCAAGATCCTCATCAGTTGCCTCCAGGTACTGCAGGCAGAGCCCTAGCCGGACAAACAATGTTAAACACATGGCACCTGCAGAAAGCTGAATCTCATGGACTGGACACCTGCCGCAGGCGGTCGTTTACTGTCTTCAGAATATGTTGTCTTCCTCATCTTTGTCATCGCCGACATTGTCCGCACATCGCCATCGTCATCATCTCGTCATATTCATCGTAATCATCAACATCATCAGCAGCACCAGCATCGTCACCATCACCACATCACCATCACCAAGTCACCATGACCAGCGTCATCATCATTATACCTCGCTCTCCTTGAAAGCTAAGACACCTGGGAGAGCCGGGTAAGTGCCGGTTCGCGCGCTGTTCGGACTAATCTTCTGGCTTGGGCCAGCCCAATCCTAAATCGTCCCCAAGATGCTACAATCATCCTGGGAGCTGTTCTCCGGCTTGCCTCTGCTATGCAGAGCACGAGTGGTTTCCGCGAAGTTCGTTGGCCAGCAGAGCAGACGTCATGAAATGGAAGCGCAAGTCTCGGACCGAGGGTTTTGGGCCATGCAGGCCCAATATGATGCCTCAACCGACCCCATTCCTAAGTCACGATTCGCTACGGGGTTGTTGTAGTCTGTAGACCTGGTGACGAGGGTCTCGTGCTTTCGCAAGCACGGAAGCAACGTGCAGGACCGTTTTCGAGCATGCATTGCCGGCATCGCTGTCCTTGAGAACCGACTTGACCGCGCGTGCATAAAGCGCATAGCAGGCTTTACTGCTAAATTGCACTGCGGCGGCTCGTGACACACGCTGCTTTCGCCATAGCATGCCCTGCATTGCCCTGCCATAGCTTAGCACTTAAACTCTGCACACTGTGCAGACTGGACGCTGCCCTCGGCGAACATATTCGTTCCAACAGGCCTCACAGTTGTAATGTGCACCCATGCACCCGTGAGCTTTAACTGGGCGGATGACGTCGCTACCCCTTGAATGGCATATCGTGCACATGCGATCCTCCTCCCCGGGAAGAACGTCTGTTACACACGACGCTGCCACAATGAGTTCGTCGAGCTGGTCACAGAAATCATCGTCCGGAATGTTCTTCACAATCTCCACCATCTCCTCGATTTTCTTTATGGCTGACTTGGCCTCTTCAAGGTGAGACTTCTTTGTATAATGGGTGTAGGTCATGTAACAGCCGCCGACAAGAAGTAGCCCCACTACGCTGCCAACCAAGCCCAAAGCAGCACCAGCAATGGCGTGATGTGCTACTGTCCACGCTGAAGCACACTTGAGACAGCCCAAAGAATGGAAGACCCAGAAGAAGCCACAACCGACAGTGGAGCAAGTGACAACGATGCCGGCCATCTTTTTGATGTTGCGTTGCACGACCTCTTGCAGTGTGAAGACTGCAGATGAAAACCATCCGGTCGGGATGCCCAACAGCTCTTTGCTCTTATCCTCATACAAGGACAGGAGACAAATCATCTTGGCATAAGCCTGGTCTAGCTGCTTCAATTTGCGCTCTTCGTCCTCTCCGTTAGTCTCTGGGGTGACCTGCAAGTCGTCATACAACTCATCGATTGCAGTATCCTTGAGCTTCATCATGCGCTTCAGGGTCTTGTAACTTTGAACAAAGCCTTCAAGGAACTCAAACTGGCTCCTGATTGCTGCTTCGTCGGTCGTCGAATCTGTCGTGCAGTTGAGCTGCTGGTGCAACTCTTTGATCTTTTTCTGAACGTCCCTGACTTTGGCATCCGTTTCTTCGAGCTGTCTCTGGAACTCTGCCTTGGGGGTTGTCTGGTAGTCGGCGCGGTAATCGGCCATGTCTCTACGGCTTGTCTACACGGCGGACCAGATCCTGCATGATCCTGCCTTGAGAGACAAAGCTGTCCACACGCATGAAGATTGCCCACACACATGCCTAAAACGAGCGAGAGCCAACCAGGTGACCTGGCTTGGTTGCAGGTTCTGGTTGGTGAGTTTGGTGTTGGGCTCGACGGTGGGGTAGGGAACGCCCGGACTTCAAAACCCCACCAACCCGGCATGAGGGGGAGAGCGCAGTAAGGAGAGGGTGGATCGCAGCACATCGCTAAGATGTCAATCTTAGGGCCGCAGCGATCCAAATGCGTTGCCAAGATCAGCTATGCGCACAGCACTCCACGATTTCGCATTAGCCATCCGAACTGCATGCAAAAAGCAAGGAGAACAACAAGGTGTCGAGGCAAGCTTGGCTTCGGATGCGTCGGCCTGGGGCGAGTGCGTCGTGCCAACGCGCAGAGGCCCTCACCATGTCCTTGTGGATGTCCTGCTCAGAAAATGGGAAGCAACTAGGAGGAACGAGTGCAGCTGCCAGTATGTGCTGTCCGACTTGTGGGCGGAAGTTTCCATGTCGTCCAGCGTGCATCCAGGCGAGTTGTACTGGCAGTCCTGCGCAAGAGACGCACGAACTGTGGCACAAGTCCAGGTAGCCAATCTCAATCGAGACTGGGGTCTGCTGCTGTAAAGGCTACATTTCACGGGCCCGATCAATCTCTGTGGAAGAAGGTACTGACTGTACTAGCCCTGGCGTCTGGCAGGCATAGGCATGCGACGGCTCCATGCTTTTTGCATCTGTGACTTCATGCTGTGAAGCGTCCTTTTCCTGTAATATCATCGTATGCGGTGCAGCACGACTCGCAATCGTCCGGTCCTTGGGCCACTCCTTCGTGTACCAGGGAGGTCTCTCTATGCCGTTGTTCTCGGCGGCACCGCGGTTCATCCCGGCATTGAGGTCCTGAGCTGCCGAGGCTGTCAATCTGGCAAGAATAGTACTCACCCAGTGCCTGGTTGAGCTTGTGCTCGGTGTGCGCCTGCCACAGATCACAGTGGCACTGCGGGTCATCGGATCACTGGCATGGTCTGCACCTTGTGTGTGTTGGGGTCGACCTTCCCTTCTGCTGAGCCCTCCGGACCGTACAAGGGCTTGTCCTTCGCCTCTGCAGGCGGGCGGCGGACACTGGTGCCCTTCAACGAGTTTTCAACTTGCAGGTGTTTGTTGAGCTTGGAGCCTTCTCGAGAAAGCCTTTGTTCAAAGTGGACGAGGTAGCTGAGCCCGGATAGCCCGAGGTTGCCTGTCGGAAGAGAGGTTGCAAAAGACGACGCGTGACAGCTCTGAAGACGTGTTGGACCTGTGGTTCCACCTCATCCACCTGCAAGTGGGCTGTGTAGGAGGCTAGAAATGTCAAAATGCGCTCAGTGAGAAGCTTAGAAGAGAACGATCTCTTCCACCAGCACCATGTTGGAGCTCGACTTGCCAATCGACCCTAGCAAGCCCCTGATTTCTTATGAAAGAAGAGTTCGGGAATTCATGCATTAGCCGCATGGCCTTGCTCTGAAAACTGACAAAGACTGCAATACCAAGCCGACTAGCGCTAGCGGAGCTGGGACGATTCAGAATGCAAGTCACTTGACACAAGCCTGCTCAGATTGGCCGCGCTCCCCCACCCCCAGTCGCTGAATGATTTGCAGTCTTGCATGGCTTTTAGGCATCCTGCGAAGCAGGCCTGCAGATGGTCTGGCCAATTGCCCTTGTCAATTGCCAGCAGCTGTACAATTCGAGGCTGACGTCTTTGCTTAATTAGGATGGAAAGCCACATGCCCACCATGAGACTGTGAGCTGCAGTCGTTTGTTTTCTGATTGCTCAACCTTTCTGACGCTTTCAGACATGGCTTCCGCTACCAGTAATGCCCGTTTCACCCTTGCACTGACAACAGCTCGATTAGGCAACGCACCGGGCTGCCGCAGACATGCCGCAGGCTTGTCTTTAGTCAGATCTGGCGCAACGCCTCATGGAAAATAACATCTGCCGAAGAGGGTTTGTACCCTTGGCAACGACTACGAAGGCGGACAGCCAGATTCTCCCTCGTCTTTGTTATGCTTCGGAATCTTGCTTCATGTGGTGCAAGCCTTCAGGCAGCACCTTTCTCCAGCTGGTATTTCAGCTGCGACACGCAAACGAATTTGGCAGTACGCCAAAGGAGTATGCAAGAGAGCATGGTGTCTCAGGCATCAGCGGCAGGAAAGGGCTGAGGTCCTCTCTCTGCCAAGCACTCAGCAGCGATCAGGGGGACATCTGTGAACGATCCTCAAATCAGAGCTGAGATGCAAATGTCATATGTACAAGATATTGAATTCGCTTCAACCTAGACTGTCCAAGCCTTTGGGCTCTGACTCCCGTGCAGAACCGCACTTTCTCTACAAGGTGCCATGGCGCCGTGCAGGACCACCGACAGCTGTCGGTCACGTACTGGACATGACAAAAATTCCCGTGACCCATTCACGTGGCAGTCGAAAAACCCATGGCCGGCCTCGGCTTTGAAAGCCAATCTCCGAGATTGGAATGCGCTTCGTGATCTTTCTGTGCATCAGGCTTCCAAGAGACGGCAGCAGCTGTGCGTTAAAAGGCACTCGACATGACCTAAGCTAGGGCTAGGGAAAGCCTGGCAACAATGGGTGCTGGAGCCGATTCTGAATGCTTCTGGGAGCCCCACTGCTGCAAAAGGCATCGACGCAGGTCTCTGATCCACCTCGTTTCTCGATGAAAGAAACCCCTGGACTGAGATGCTTAGAACACGACCTCGCCGTCTTCGTCTGGCCAGCCGTCGAGCTGCACCTCAGGCCTTTGCACTCGTGCATCTTCGATACCACCGTACTCAAAATCCACGATTACTTGCAGCACCACGGCCAAGGGTCGGGCATGCTTGGCGAGCTCTGCGTGGATGCCTCGCACGAAACGAGAACTGCTGCCAAAGCCGCACAAAAATGCAAAGTCTGCATTGAGTGAGTGCGCGGCTGTTGAGAAGGACTCGAAATGGCCCGTCTGGCTCGGTTGCGGAGAACTGCAGCTGGACAACTTCATTGCTGGTACCTCTCTGGTCCGGACAGATCTCCATGCACTCCACGTCTACCCGAGTCTACCCAGATAGAGAGCCTATTGGCAAAGAACGCTTCAAATCGTGGCACAGGCATCGTCATCGGGGACGTAAGAGGAGCAGCGGCTTGAAGCACTCGCAAATGTGATCGCCTTTGAATGACCCAAATTAAGAGCACGGGAACAGGGATCTGTCTGAGACCCGTGCTGCTCTTCAAAAGTGATGCTGGCATCTTCAAGTCCAGAGCGAAGATATGAGCAAACCTGCTTCAAGTGAGCTTCGCGACCACCCCACCCCCCCCCCCCTGAACGGAAAAAAGGAGTCATGAGACTGCAATGAATTTCAAGCCAATTGCTGGGGCAGCGGCTGCGCGCTTGAGCTCTTCCATGCGGCTGTGATCGTGAAACTGCCGAGGCAGGTTCTTAGGGACATGCGATCAAACTCCTGATTGCTTGCTTCGAGGGAACCTCCAGTTGAGCGATCTCGATGGAAATGCGCTCCAGCGACTGCAGCTGCTGTTCGATGGAGGCCTGTCTCCACACATGTGCTTGACTTCTATGCAGAGGAAAGCTTCTCGTCCTGAGCTTATGCACAGCGAGACGGCTTGGACAGATCCGTTTGGCAGCCCTGCAGAAAATTTAGGACCCTCCTCGAATTATCTGAAGCTATATTGCTAGCCATGCTAATTCAAGCAGGCATTCACTGCGTCGTCCAACGGTGTTGGTTCCGGATAAAAGGTACTGCTAATAGTTGAAGCTTCATTGGAACCGATCACTGAATGCCTCCAACTCCGGCAAGAGCATTCGCAGCTCCAGAGGAGGTGCTCTGTTGGAAAAGGTCGCGCTGAACTGCCGAAGCCTCAGGCCGAGACTCACACGACCCCTCCGGAAGCAGAAGACTTGAGATCTGCGCCCGTTGTGCTGAGCTAGTCTGGATGCCAACCTCAGGCAGCAGTCAACAAAGTTACAAGCTCTAAAAACACAAGAAGCAGCGTTTGAACGAGACGAAATGTCCTCCTGAGACTGAGACGATGCAATGTCTTGTGATGCCTGCCGATAGAGCTCCGAAAGCCTCATGGGGCAGGACACCGATGCAACCCACAGCGACAGAAAACCTGAAATGGCGATGATGGCGATGCTGGGAAGGTCTACTGTTTGGTTTCAACCTTGACCATTTGACCGTCTTGAAACTCCAATACAAGCGGCAGCCCATGCCGTAGAGCTTCGCGAAGCCGGGCTTTGGCCACAGCTGAAAAATAAAACCACCGACTGTTCGGCTCGCGGCAAACACGTAACAACGGCCCCACAGGAGAAAGCCACTAGGTACCTGATTCGCCTTTCAGTCATGCTGAGTAAAGTGCTCGAGATGCAGCGCCACGAAGAAGGACTTCCCGGTGGGACATCCAGATACGCCCACACGCCCCGGGGGAGATCATCATGAGCATCGTCTGCCATCCTCCCCGAACCTCGAGCATCAGCACCACCTCCAAGTGGCCACGCCTATGTTCTCCTCCACATCCCAAATGCTCTGTGCTGGACGTCCGTGAAGCTTGGTCTGTACAGCTTCAAGGCGCTCAGGAAATTCACAGCGACTGTGGCTTGGTGCCCTGCTGCTCACCCTGAGAGCTGGATGCTGACGTGTCCTATCAACGGCCATGAGACCAACTGGGACCTATAATAAATTAGGTTCTGCACATGGCCTGGTCGGCAGAAGGCAAAGCTCGTTTTTGCCGTGCCTCGGGGCGGGGCTCCAAGCCTCTCAGAAGCAGCGTCCATCTGCAGGAGGCCCGCACGGAGGCCCTCATCTTCTCCAAGAGGCTCGTCTTGTCCTCTGATTCAAAACAACAAACGTAGGGTAAGAATCCAGCAGTGCGAGCAGCTGAGGAAGCATCCCTGCGGACGCCCACGCCGTGCAGCTGGAAGATCAAGGCTGACCTGGTCAACGCCAACTTCGCGACCCGACATGACCCTCTGAACGAAGAATGCTGTCCCAGCCCACCAACGAGATCTGCGCATAGATGCCTGCTCTTTCCGACTACCCCTACAGCCCGTCTCCCCCGGGCTGGAGCAGGCACGCTGGGTCGCGAACCTTTCAACGTCGGAAAGGCGCTCTTCCTCCTGGAATGTATCAAGGCCGGCTGTTTTCCCTCGTGCTCTTAAGGAATTGAAAAATCACCCAATCGATAGTCCGATAGTCGAATGCTTCAGGCCCCACAACACTTGCCTTGCCAGCCTGACTTGCTTGCCGACTACAGTGGGACAGAAGATGTCGGCCTCAGGCAGCGCAATCACACCAGTCTTTCGGGCTCACCGCTGTGCTTATGTCAGGCCTTTTCGAGTTTCACTGGTCATGCACTCCCACATGGCTAGCACAGGTGAGCCTCCGTCTGTGCGTGTTATGTGCCGTGCACGAGTACTCCCTGCTCATACACCTACCAATGTCAGGACGCATGCTTTTAAACTTGTGCGGCTAAGCAGGCTTTGCGACTGCTTCTGCACGCATCTCTGGTTCCATGAATTCTCAGCTTGGCTTGAACTCACAGCTGACCGGATGCAAAGAGTATTTGACGTGATGCCTGCTGGCCTGCACGACACAAGACGGAGCACTCAAAGCTTTCCTACATGCATTCAAAGTCCGTCTTTTGTGGCATTCGCTAGCAGGCTGCAAGAGTCAAAAGCTCACAGCTACAGCTGCTTGGCCACGAACGGTTTGAGGGACCTAAGCCACAGCGGTAGCATGTGAAAGTGCTAAAGCCATCAGCGAAGGGTCTAGTCTGTGCCGAGACACAGGTAGATGGCATCTGATCTCTTGTCCTTCAAAACCGAACTGGCGCCGGCTTCATAAGACAGGTAAAGGTCTGTGCATCTGCCTGTGCCAAGAGCTCTGGCTGATCTGATCCGTCAAACTCGGACACTCTCTCCTCAGGTCCAACATCAGCGGATACTCTGCGCAACCCCGCACACTTTTCGGAACGAATCGAAGAAGCTGTGGCTTGGAGGCGCCTTCACCTTGGGGAGTGGGCCTAGGCCCACGCGCTGAGGCTGGCACCCCATAATACTCCAGCAAGGGACGGGTTTCGCGATCATAATCCTCGCCACTATGTCGACGAGACCGCAACTAGCCGGGCAAAGCCGATTACGGCACAAGACAAAGAAGCAGAAGTCCTGTAATCTGGCTCGAACGGCCTCCGGCTTGTCGTCGTCTCTTTGGACGAGCGGCTCACCGGTAACATCATCCTTGCCTGGCACCTGCGTTGGCCAGAAATACATGGTGCCGCATGTCGAAGCAGCTAGATGTAGCGAGTCAGCGCCACGAGCCTTCGGGGGATTGTAGTCGTACGCATATGTGCGTCCAGACGATGGGTGGATCCTTGTCAGAAAAGCGCCGGAACTTGCTAGACCGAGCCTTCACCCGAAGCAAGGAAAGTAAAACTGCAAGGGGATGCAATTGCACTGAGAAGAACTGTGACCTGAGGGTTGCAAAGCTGGACGCAATGCTTGGGCACACACCGAACTAGTAAAAGACGGTTCTTAAGAGACGAATCGTTGGGAGGCAACCAAACCTGCTCGCCATCGAATCGTGTGATAATGCAAGGCCCGTGCCAACGACTGGTGATGCGTTTGACCTCGGCAGCAGCTGTGCCAATGGAAGCTGCAGCAGAGCGTTGCGGAATAAGGTCATGGCTATCTCTTCTGTTGGTACCGCAAGGTTGAGAACAAGGTCCTGAGGAAATTACCGGCATCTTGTCTCCCAATGCCTGCCAGGAACTGGGAGGCCCGCAACCTTCTTGCGCTTTTCGAGAGCCTCTGCCTTTACAGCATGCGGGGGGTCTGCAGGGCAAAGGGGCACTGTTGCCAAGCCAAAGCCTGAACTCGTGTTCGTGGAAATCCATCGAGAAGCACTCTCGCAGTTTGGATCTCGTCAACCTCGGCTATGCTTTGCTCTCAACATCTTTCAACCAAATGCTGGATCACACCTCAGGTCTCGTCTACGGCACTGAGCAGCCCATTGCACTTGAATCGCGCTGAAACTTCCCTACCCTTCACATCAACGCCACGCCACGCAGTTCATGATCATGTCCACAATGACATCGTCAGGCACAAGTGCCCCGGAATCCATGTACTGCTTGGCCTTGGCTCTCACAGAGGGAAGCCACAGACAAGGAGACACTCGACTCCGCTTGGAGCCTTCAGGCCGCATGCCGTGCCCTGGCGGACCTCCGGCTGGCAAAGAAAGAGCCATCATCGCGCGAATACAAGTCCGATCCCTGTCGTCAATCATCCCATCTGCGCATGTGCGACAGCCCGTGTTTCAAGGATGCCACAATGTGTGCATGAGGATCATCATAGCTCAGCACAGGGACCATTTGCTCCTTCCTGACGCCAGTAGTAGGATCGTTGGAATACTGTACCGCTTTAACCTCCGCTTCGGTGTCGCATCAGTCTCTTCTGTCTATGCGGCTGTGCGGGGATAGGGGGTCTAAAACCTCATACCTTTCTTTTTCCCTCAGGCCCGATTGTTAAAACTGGATCCATTATAGCTGGTCAGCACTAGGGTTGATGATATGATATAAATCCTGCATAACCCATAATAAGGAATATACCATACTTCCCGTTGTTTAGGGTCCTTACGGAAAGGCAGGATTTACATCATCAACCGTAGGAATCTTCCTCATGTCGGGCTTGAGAGCTGTTCCAGAGTCTGCGAAAAGCGGCACGAAGGCCTGGCTCCGCAGCATATCGCCAGAAGAGATGTGGTGGAAGTCGAAGTCCTTCAAAGGCCCAGCTCTGTGCAGCTGAATGATCAATGATCATCATGAAGACCCCCAAGCCAAAACGTCCCGTCCTTGATCAGCTTCTTGCTGATTGTTCCTTTCCCGCCTCGGCAGGTTCCGAATAGTCAGTCAGAGTGCACGACCACAAAAGGCGCCGCATCAAGCAGTTCACGGAAACACATCATCAAACAGCTGCAGATGGTGCAATTCTCCTGAACTTCGCCTGAATTCTCACGCTTCTTCAAACGAGAACTCCCCAAAGGCTACTTTCAAGAAACTGTAGTTACCAAAAAACATCGACTTCTTTCTGACAACCTGTCTGCAATCTCCTCGCAACGGACACTTGACAAAAGTGTGGATATCTGCGCTGTGTTCACATTGCACACTTGTCACCAATGCCTGCTCACAACTTCATTTACGGTGAACCCGTGTTCGTAGGCTCAATCCTTTACAACGGTTTGCCGATTCCCCGAAATACCGGGAACATTTGGGAAACTTCTTCTGAAAAAGCTCTTGTGCCAGAAAAGCGTCCATGTCAATGTGCGGAGATCTTCTTTGACAGACTTTCGCCCCATGTCTTAAGCAAGGGTTTTGATACAAACACTCGCCAGAATGGAAAAGAAAACTCAACAGCTGGACAACGGAATCATCTCGGGACTGCACCACCCGGCGGCCCCATGATCAGCGTAGTCTTTGACCGCACTGCCTGTAGATAGTCAGAGCACAGTGCTGGCACCACGGACCTCGGAAAAGCCCGGAAAACCGAAGTACCTGCAGTGTCCGTATCGGCACCTTCGTTGGAAGCTGGTGAACCGAAAATGAAATGCGGTGCTGGTGAACACTCGGCACTTGGCACAGGCTCGCTGCCCCAGCATGCTGGCCTGTGTCGGGCTGGCGGTGCAGAAAACAGGGCCAAGGTTCAAATCTGCGGCAGCGAGCCTCCTCGAGATCCAAGCGCCACTTGAGGCGAAGTAGTTTGAAGGTGCTGCAGGTGGTGCGGCTGCAATATGGATCCAGCCAATGCATCTTGACAAGCACGCGCACGCTGTTTTGTGGCTTACGGGCAACAACATGGCAGTGTGTGCTCTTTTTGCTGCACACCGCTGGTGGCAAGACAGAGTTTATCTACCTCTAGCAGGAGAAACCGCAAAGTTGCACCTGAAGAAATCAGCGTAATGTAGCCGAAGCTAAGGCTTGCTCCTAGGAGTGTTGTAGCTAGCAGCTTGTACACAGACAAGTCAGGGAAACCATGCTTGGCCGCACGATTCTTGGTGAAATCGACCTGCTGGATCTAAGCAACTGGGGCGTAAGCTGCACAGCTCAGACGGCTGTGCCAGATAACGCCAGTCTACACAATGCTACACATCCGGGGTGAGACCGGAAGATGATCTTACACTCAGGCTGGCCCGAAGGAGGCCGGCCGGAGGTCTCTGCGAATGTAGAACAGGACGTAAGCGCCCACCTGTGGAAATCCACTTGTTGGGCCACATCCCAAAACAAGGCTCTGCACCACCCCAGATTCATGCTGTGATTCTCACCTTGTCTGCTGAGACTTCTTGCTCCGAGCATTGTCGCACGCTGCCGTCGTCAAAGTGATACCACCTGGCGTGGTGCAAAGGCGTGCCTTTTGTTTTGGGGGTTGGGCTCCAAGCAATGCATGCCAGCTAGGCGAGCCATCCTCTGATGATCGGCAAAAGGCCACGTAGTGACCTCCCGACATGATCAATCCTTCTGGAGGGATGAGATCTGCTCAGGCAACCTCCACCAAGAGAACCGATGTGCTTCGACAGGGCAGCCAGGTCATATATCTGGGCGAAGCACTTGTCATGTGATGCATCACTCTACAGTTGCCCTTGTGGGAATGTGCCAAGCCCAGAGCAGGTGGCGATTCAAATGACTGTCTGGAAGAGGCCTCCGACAGGCCATGCACCAGGCCAAGACACTCATCAGGAGCTTCGCGCGGCTCAGGCAAACTTCGGAGATGGGAGGACTGAGAAGAGCGCTGTGCAAAAGGGTCTCAAATCGAGGCCCTCCAGCGGGAAGCTCACCGATGTGTTCAGTCGCTCCCGGGACCTGGGAGATCTACGACAGCCTGCTAAGCTTACTTGCTGACCTCAGGTTCCGGCCATCGATTGTACTGAAAACGCTTCAGCTGGATCACTAGCACCGGCGGGCAGTGGTGGAACCTCATTCGAATACTGTTTTATCGTTTTCCTTCTGCCACTCTCGAAGCAGGCCTACCAACAGTCCGGGGTGAGCACTGCAGCTGCTTGTAGGCTTCCCGATGCCTTCCAGCATGCTTCCAGAGTCCACAAAAGCTCAAGCTCACAGAAAAATATCGATGAAATACAATGGTACATAACATAATACAATATAACAGAATATGCTATATCATACTATAATCTAATCTAAACCTACATAAGCTCAAGCTCACAAGCTGGTGCTTTCTGGGGGCCCGGGCTCTTTACAGCGGCTGCAGTACCAGGCATCGGTCGTTCCCAGTCGCTCGTCCTGAAGAGGCGTAAGTTCCCCAACAATACCAAAGGAGTTTAGGAGAGGAAGGTTAGGGCTTTCGGGTTTTAGGATGTT